GTACACACATTACTTACCTTAAAATATTTTCATTCTTAGCTTATAGTGAGTGGTGAATATAGCATAGGAAGTCTGAATAAATGAAGAATGGGTGTACAGTGGAACCTCGGTTTTCGTATGCCCTAGTTGGAGAAAATTCTCTATAAGATGTATTTTTTTTAATATTTTTGGGTGTCTGGAACGGATTGATTGGTTCTGTTCCAGACACCCAAAAAATATTAACAAAAAATACATTTTATAGAGAATTTTCTCCAAGAATTGTCTCAAACTAGGGCATATGAAAACCGAGGTTCCACTGTACTTGAAAAACTGCTGCATTAGCAAAACGCTGTAAAGCAAGGCCTGCCTGTGTGTGTGGAACAAGTATTTACATTGAAGCACATAAATGAGCAATACATAAAGTTAAGGAGCTGTTGGTTGCATTTATGGATTTAAAAAAGGCATATGATAGTGGATAGGGGAGCCATGTGGCAGATATTACAGATGTATGGAATAAGAAATATGTTAATAAAAGCAGTTAGATTTTTTACACAGTGAGGCTCAGGTTAGGGTATGTAGGAGGGAACTGGGCACTATTTTCCCAGTGAAAGAGACTGGGATGTATGTCACTATGAAAGCTTATTAACACACACACACAGATGGGGTAGTAAAAGAAATTAATGCTAGAGGTGTAGGATGTTGGATCTGATAAAAGGTTGGAGTTATCACAGTTCTTTGCTGATGACAGTTCTTTTGAGGGATTCTGAAGACAAGGTAGTTGCAAATGTTGGTGGATAAGTTTGAGATACATAAAAAGAAATTAAAGCGAATGTAGAAAAGAGTAAAGGTGATGAGGATAACTAAAAGTCTTTGGAGTGATAGATTGAATATTATATAGGAAGAATTGGATGTTTTTAGATATTTAGCAATGGATGTATCAGCAGATGGGTCTATGAAAAACAAGGTGAACCATAGACTAGATGAGGGCAAAAAAAGTAGGTGGTGTTTTGAGGCATTCTGTGGAAAGAAAAAATTTATCTATGAAGACAAAGTAAAAACTAATGTATTAGAGTATAGTGGTACCAACACTTTTATATAGGCGAGGCTGGAGTTTGAAACGCTGCAACAAGGAGGTGGCTAGAGTCAGTGGGGATGTTGTGTGTGGTGTGAATGTCTTATAGATTGGAGAGAAGAAATTAAAAGGTAATGTGGGGTTAATAAATGCATAATTCAGAGGGCTGAGGGGTTGTTGAGGAGATGGAGAAAGATGAAAATGGTGTGTAAATCTGAGGTAAAATGTAGAAGGGTGGTAAAGGAGGCTTTGAACATGTATGAGGCTAAGTTAGCATACTTCTGGCAAGACAACAGTTGAATGTGATTTTTTTTCTTTTTGTCGTCTTACCTTGGTGGGGGGGATAACCAGTGAGGTAAAAAAAAAAAAATTACAATCAATGGAAATAGAATAAAGATGGTTATAGAGGTTATAGGTTATAGATGGTTATAAAGGTGGTTATAGGAGGGTGGGGGCAGGAGGAAAGAGGAGTGATTGGTGGAATGATGAAGTAAAGGGTGTGATAAAAGAGAAAAAGGTAGCTTATGAGAGGTTTTTACAAAGCAGAAGTGTTATAAGAAGAGCAGAGTATATGGAGAGTAAAAGAAAGGTGAAGAGAGTGGTGAGAGCAGATGAAAGAGTGGGAGAGGCACTGTCAAGAAATTTTAATGAAAATAAGAAAAATTTTTGGAGTGAGTTAAACAAGTTAAGAAAGCCTAGGGAAAGTATGGATTTGTCAGTTAAAAACAGAGTAGGGGAGTTAGTAGATGGGGAGAGGGAGGTATTAGGTAGATGGCGAGAATATTTTGAGGAACTTTTAAATGTTGAGGAAGAAAGGGAGGCGGTAATTTCATGCACTGGCCAGGGAGGTATACCATCTTTTAGGAGTGAAGAAGAGCAGAATGTAAGTGTGGTGGAGGTACGTGAGGCATTACGTAGAATGAAAGGGGGTAAAGCAGCTGGAACTGATGGGATCATGACAGAAATGTTAAAAGCAGGGGGGGATATAGTGTTGGAGTGGTTGGTACTTTTGTTTAATAAATGTATGAAAGAGGGAAAGGTACCTAGGGATTGGCGGAGAGCATGTATAGTCCCTTTATATAAAAGGAAAGGGGACAAAAGAGATTGTAAAAATTATAGAGGAATAAGTTTACTGAGTATACCAGGAAAAGTATACGGTAGGGTTATAATTGAAAGAATTAGAGGTAAGACAGAATGTAGGATTGCAGATGAGCAAGGAGGTGTCAGAGTGGGTAGGGGATGTGTAGATCAAGTGTTTACATTGAAGCATATATGTGAACAGTATTTAGATAAAGGTAGGGAAGTTTTTATTGCATTTATGGATTTAGAAAAGGCATATGATAGAGTGGATAGAGGAGCAATGTGGCAGATGTTGCAAGTATATGGAATAGGTGGAAAGTTACTAAATGCTGTAAAGAGCTTTTATGAGGATAGTGAGGCTCAGGTTAGGGTACGTAGAAGAGAGGGAGAATACTTCCCGGTAAAAGTAGGTCTTAGACAGGGATGTGTAATGTCACCATGGTTGTTTAACCCTTTCAGGGTCCAAGGCCCAAATCTGGAGTCACGCACCAGTGTCCAAGAATTTTCAAAAAAAAAATTTGTTATTTTTTCTTATGAAATCATAGAGAATCTTTTTGTGAAGGTAATAAAACAAAAAGTACGAAATTTGGTGGAAAACTGACGAAATTATGCTCTCGCGAATTTTGATGTGTCAGCGATATTTACGAATCGGCGATTTTGCCGACTTTGACTCCCATTTTAGGCCAATTACATTATTCCAATCAACCAAATTCTTAGCTATTTCACTAGTATTACTTCTATTCTATTGATTGAGCACAAGAAATCGCCAAGTCAACTGTTTCAACTACAAAATAAAGTGATCGGAAATTGTTAATTTGGCCAATTTAACACAAAGTTCAAAATATTCCAATTTCAAAATAGGGTCCAGAATGAACAATGTAGGCATTCCTGGCACTAAACTAACATTTCCTCTGTTCATTAGTTATGTTTTGAGGCTTTACAAATAAATTCCATTTTGATTTTTTATTCACATAATGAATTTTTATTCACACCAAAAAATAGAAGATTTACTGTTATGCAATACTGTAATAATTGTATAAATATCATCACCATATTTGTGAATGTATATTAGACCCACCAGCTGGTGTGTATTAGACGTGTGAGGTCGTTTGTTTACTCTTGAATATCGGCAAAAATTTAACATTTCCGCTACTTTGAGCTCAGTTGCAAGCCATTTCCAGTGCTAAAACCAATCAAAATCATCTCTATTTCTGTAATATGTCTTCCATTCTATCAAATGAGACCAAGAAATCGCAAATACAACTATAAAAAACATACGAAAAAACACTGCAAAGTTGCTGTTTTAATCGAAAAATCATGATTTCATTTTTTTTCTCTCATTATACACAGTGTGCTGCAGGATCTGTTTTATGTGGTGCACACATACCACATAGATGTATTCTCTCATATCTAGGCCCAAATGTACCACTCACAGTTTTATCAGAGTGAGCTGAGCTCATGGCGTAGATTTTACGGTTTGGACCCTGAACGTAAAGCCGTAGATCTACGGGACGGACCCTGAAAGGGTTAATATATTTATAGATGGGGTTGTAAAAGAAGTAAATGCTAGGGTGTTCGGGAGAGGGGTGGGATTAAATTATGGGGAATCAAATTCAAAATGGGAATTGACACAGTTACTTTTTGCTGATGATACTGTGCTTATGGGAGATTCTAAAGAAAAATTGCAAAGGTTAGTGGATGAGTTTGAGAATGTGTGTAAAGGTAGAAAGTTGAAAGTGAACATAGAAAAGAGTAAGGTGATGAGGGTATCAAATGATTTAGATAAAGAAAAATTGGATATCAAATTGGGGAGGAGGAGTATAGAAGAAGTGAATGTTTTCAGATACTTGGGAGTTGACGTGTTGGCGGATGGATTTATGAAGGATGAGGTTAATCATAGAATTGATGAGGGAAAAAAGGTGAGTGGTGCGTTGAGGTATATGTGGAGTCAAAAAACGTTATCTATGGAGGCAAAGAAGGGAATGTATGAAGGTATAGTAGTACCAACACACTTATATGGATGTGAAGCTTGGGTGGTAAATACAGCAGCGAGGAGACGGTTGGAGGCAGTGGAGATGTCCTGTCTAAGGGCAATGTGTGGTGTAAATATTATGCAGAAAATTCGGAGTGTGGAAATTAGGAGAAGGTGTGGAGTTAATAAAAGCATTAGTCAGAGGGCAGAAGAGGGGTTGTTGAGGTGGTTTGGTCATTTAGAGAGAATGGATCAAAGTAGAATGACATGGAAAGCATATAAATCTATAGAGGAAGGAAGGAGGGGTAGGGGTTGTCCTTGAAAGGGTTGGAAAGAGGGGGTAAAGGTGGTTTTGTGGGCGAGGGGCTTGGACTTCCAGCAAGCGTGCATGAGCGTGTTAGATAGGAGTGAATGGAGACGAATGATACTTGGCACCTGACGATCTGTTGGAGTGTGAGCAGGGTAATATTTAGTGAAGGGATTCAGGGAAACCGGTTATTTTCATATAGTCGGACTTGAGTCCTGGAAATGGGAAGTACAATGCCTGCACTTTAAAGGAGGGGTTTGGGATATTGGCAGTTTGGAGGGGTATGTTGTGTATCTTTATACGTATATGCTTCTAAACTGTTGTATTCTGAGCACCTCTGCAAAAGTAGTGATAATGTGTGAGTGTGGTGAAAGTGTTGAATGATGATGAAAGTGCTTTCTTTTTGGGGATTTTTTTCTTTTTTGGGTCACCCTGCCTCGGTGGGAGACGGCCGACTTGTTGAAAAAAAAAAAATATTATCTTAATTCAGATCTGCTAAGTATAGTAAAAACATTAATTTTGGCAAGGCAGTTGTAGGAATATCATGTATTTTACCATTGTTTTAATTATATAATTATTTTTTTTTTCAGGTTGCTCCACAATATATGAAAATGAACGTTTTTGTATCAACTGTTATAAAATGCGTAATTCTACTGCCCTAAATCATTCTCGTATTATAGCCGCAGCTAAGAAAAAAATGGCTTCTGGCTATTAATGTGAAAGTACTTTAAAGGTTCAAAATTCCCGACATGTTTTTAAGTGTTGAAAAAAGACAACATTTTTTGCTTGGGTGAGTAGTTTTGTGTAATTTTTAATATAGCAAAAATAACAAGTATGGAAAGGACTACCTACAAAGTTATGAAGAGAAATGAGACATGAACAAAGCTTTTCAAGTGTCATATATGAAATGGTGAAACATTTTCCAGTTAATGGCAGTGTTAAACAGGAATGTGCAGACAGTGAGAACTGTGCTCAGCAGCATACAAGTGAAAAAATAGAATTTACATTTAAGGATTGAAAGGTACCAGTAAGGGAAAAAGAGAGTTGTATTATATATTCATGGAGGAGCATTAGATCTGTAGTGAGGTCATATAGTACCTGGGTAGTGGGAAGTAATAAGAGGCATTCATTTTAAGGATAATTAAAATTTTAAAAGGGTAATTTAACTATAAGGTGGGTACCTTGATGCCAGTGTGGAGCTCTAGTTCGTTCTTTCCTTCCTCAGGTCAAACACAATTGCCTTCCATTTCCCAGGTGCTATGTGACCCCTGTACAGGTTTAACACTTTCATCATAATAAAAGGATGGCGTGTAGATATATAAAAAGCAGGTCATTGCTGTACAAGTGAACAAGAAAACCACTGGAGGTTCCTCCTTAAGGTAATGCTTCTGTGGACCACCAAGTCTAACATGTGTACAAAAGAGAACACATACAAAGTTGTATATATGTTGGTAGAATTACCGACTATGTAAAGTAAATGGACACTAGTTGCACTTGTGTCCATTTACTTTACATACAAAGTTAGGTTCACCTGTAGATAGATCAGGGAGGTTACTGCCCCTCATAGCCCAGTCTGTTTTTTGCCTATCAGGGGTTTTATTAATCCCGTACAATATCAATAATAGCGTGGTAGTCGGGGAAGATTAGGTGCACATAATGATTTAATGATGTCACCTGACAAGTTTTGTTGGCCTAAAATCAATTTAGTCAAACTTTGGTAATGTTATTACTTCTCGACTGCATTAAGACAACTAAACATTTTAAATCCTCTTCCTTGATGATAATTTTACCATTCCATTTAATCAGATGACAATGGCTGCTACTGTAAATAATGCAGATTATTAACATTGTCACAGTGGCTGGCATATTTATGCTCATTGACACTAGTGTGTTCTGTGTATATTTTTAGCTGTTTCTCAAATCCCCATGTGACTTCACACTCCAGCTTTGGTTTCAGCTAGACTTACTGGTTTCTTGCTGGTCACGCTGCTTAATGTTAATACTGGTAGTAGTGACTATTCTAATATTAAACAGAGTAGGCAGTAGAATTATTGGGAAGAATGACAAGTCTTTCCAGAGATTTGTCAAACTTGTAGGTATTGATGATCCTCAGAACATTACATTTACAGTTGTTGATGAAATGAAGTGGGGAATCAAGTTATGGAAGACCCGATCACTTTTCTCCTCAAAGTATTCAAGGGCTACATACCCTGGAGACCCTCAAATAAAATATGATGGCAACTCTGCACTTCTTGTACATTATTGTAATTCAAACTAAGCACTAAAATAACTTGTCATAGTCTTAATGGAACTGCATTGTCATTAGTTGGAAGCAGCTTTTTGTCAAGTCTGCATAGGAGTGCACATCAAAGAAGGCATGTTTGTCCTCGTATTCAAGTGGAAATCTCTGCTATAGGTCAGTGATGCTCAACCTCCCGAGTGCTATGAGAAAGATATCCACGTGCACACACACTGCAGCTGTTGCCATTGGATTCTGAGGACCTATGTAGCCCAGAATACCTAAAGAAGGAATGTACTACCTGGACCAGGTCTTCAAGGCTACACTTCCCCTCTTGTTTCATTAATGACTGTAGATGTACCCTACAGTTCCTCAAAATGTCCAAGTTTGAAAATCTCTGGAAAGATTTGCTATCCTTCCCAACAGCAGTGTGGCAAATTATATTCTAGCTCCTTTAAGTACTTTCTTGGAGTAACCACTACCATTAGACTTAACTAGCAAGAACCCCATAAAATCAAAGCTGAAGTTTGACATGTGGGGATGCGAGAAATGTGGAAGATATAGCTAGACTTGCACACCAGTGTCTCGAGTATAAATAAATTTGGTGTACTATTAATAGTATCTCTTATTCATAGTAATAGGCTTAATTCAGGGAATTGGACAGATCCAAACCCAACAAACACTTGAAGTGCAGTAAAGAAACAGATTTAAGTAAATACCATTCTTTAGAATCATATACATTTGTCTTACTATTGCAGTTGCATAAAGTACAGGAATTTCAGTATATCCAGATTTTTGGCTAAATTATTTTAGGCCATAAGGTGACAATCTTTCTGTGCACTGTGCTTACAGTACAATTGACCTACATGGTAATATAAATTTTGCTGTTTTTATGTCTTGGATTGATAAAGCCCCTGGTAGGCAAAGAGTTACCATAATAAAGTTAGTACCAAATGTTGTGAGTGTTATACATTTGTCAGTGTTATTTACCTTTTGTAACAGGTCCAGTTAAAATGCTTCTGTATAGCCTCTGTTTTCAGCTATGAACATTAAATTGGTATAAAATACCAACAGGTTGTTAGGTAAGACACATATGCAACAGTTAGGTATCTTTATTTCGAAACGTTTCGCCTATACAGTAGGCTTCTTCAGTCGAGTACAGAAAAGTTGATAGAAGCAGAAGAGACTTGGGGTGATGGACTGATTACATCGTCTTCAAGTCTCTTCTGCTTCTATCAACTTTTCTGTACTCGACTGAAGAAGCCTACTGTGTAGGCGAAGCGTTTCGAAATAAAGATACCTAATTGTTGCATGTGTCTTACCTAACATTTTCAGCTATGGCCAAGTGCAACACCAGGGCTAAAACTGCTATGATTATCATTTGTAGGTGATACATGATCACTGATCAACTGAATGTATAATAAAATGTGCTAATTCAGGACTGAGGGTTAGACAGCTCTGTGATTACATTTGTGGGAAGTGCTCATATCACAGATCTCGTAAAATGACCATACGAGTGTGATAAAAAAAAGTTAAGTAATTGTCATATTCTAAAGCAAGCACCAAACCTGTATTGGTCATACAGCTTATTGCAGTAAGGCTGATAGTATTTCTTCCATGACCTTTGTCATAAGGGTTATTAGTACAAAGCAAGGCTTTGTTACAATCAAAACCAAGCACTAAGCCCACTAGGGTCATACAGCACTGCAGCAAGGCTTTAAGACGTATTTTACCAAGGGTTGTGCTTTGCTTCATCGACCAAAAACAAAAAAAAAAGTACATTCCTGCAAGTATATGTAGGGAAGTGGACTGTCAGGTCACAGGTGATGTGGGTAAGATTGTGTATTATTACAATCAAAAAAGCGCTAATCCACAAGGGCTATACAGCGCTGGGAAGATTGTGTAAATTCCCTAGCAGGCATACAAGAGATCTTCCTAGACCAAAAGTACCTTTAATTCTACTGGATGGTTATTATAATCATGGGGGAAAGGGAGGATGGAAGGTATTCAGGCTCAATTCAGAGAACTGGAACAAATCCAATTCCCTTGATCAAGAGCCCCTCACCAGCATCAAGGAACCTCCCTTGAAGGGAACTCTGCTGGATGGTGTATAGTTGTGTCTAATGCTGCTCTATGGCATTATGTACCCTAATGACAGCTACTTAAGACACTTCTAACCCTCCCCATCATCATCTGAGGATAATCTGGCCTTTGCCCAAAGTGTGCAAGTTTGTGTCTGTGTATGCCACACACACTGCTTATTAATCTTGCATTACATTCATTGGATAATCTCATACACTTTAACTCTATTATGACTTAAAAAGAGGAAGGCATGCTTATAGGAGTCTTCCTCACAGCCTACAAAATTTGTAGCCTTACGAATTTTTGAGGTGACACCACCTCTCTTAAATTACAACTACATTTCATTCCTGATAGCAAACAGAGCACAACACATTGTCAAACCTGGGGAAAATACAGAAGCTAATATTACATTCATGGTAGGATTCACTAAAACCTTAAGGGTCCTACAGCAGTCAGGCTTTATCCAAGGAAGAGGATATGTTCAATTCCTTGGAATCAAGTGCCTCACTAACAGCAAGGAATCTATCTTGAGTTGTTTAGTATCAGTAGATGCATTCTTTCCACTGATTCCCCCACCACCTTGATGATGATGATGAGAGGCTCTTGATCCAACTGGACTTATCCTTATCTTCCTTGGATAAAACCTAAATTTATTCTCCAGCTGCTACACATTCCTTACGAGTTTGGTGATACTTCCTGATTAAAAAAGAAAATACTTCCACTGGTTAAACCACCATCAGAATCACACCTTGGATGGCAGGTATTGCTGATAAGGTAGAAACTTGGTGCAGCACAATTATAAATATTATTACAATCGTAAGTGCTAAATCCACAAAGACAAATATAAAACTTCTGCTCTGGGTAGAGCTTTACTAAGTTATACAAGTAGTTGTGTAACAGATTATAATATACTTGTTTTTTTTCCCATGGAAAATGAGTTTGAAAAGTAACATGGGCATACTAAATGGATCAAATTCTATAAGGTATAGGATTGCTGCTTCAGAGTAGCCCTTTCTAGTCTTGTCTTGTGACCTACTCAACCGATATCCTTGGGTAACCAAACTATACCTAAATCAACAAAATAAGTACACTGTAGCCAACTACCCTGGGTCATAGAGATGTGTATCTGTACTGGTGGTGAACAGGTAATAAGCAGCCTTAATGACCCTTTCTCTGATCATGCAGTGACAAACATTTTGAAACAGGTAAGACAGAGAGGATTACCAAGAGGGTAGGGGAGAATTTAGGATGGATAGGGGATGTGTATACCAGGTGTTTACACTGAAGCATACAAGTGAACAATACTTAGGTAAGAGTAAGCAAGTTACATTTATATATTAACACAGCTGTTTCCCACTAAGGTAAAGTACCCTGAAAGTAAAACACTTTCACCATTACTGTCAGTCTTGCCAGAGGCATGCTGTCATTACAGCTCAAGTGTACCTCCAATATCCCACCACCATCTCTCCAGAGTGCAGGCACCGTACTTCCCACCCAGAATATAAGTCCAGCTAACCGGTTTCCCTCAGTCCCTTAATAAATGTTAATTTGCTTACACCCATAAAAACCGCTTGCCTCCACTTACTCATATTTAACATGCTTGTACATGCCTGTTTGATGACCAAGACCCTCCAACCATTCCTAGGCTGGCCTCCCTACCCCTCTTTCCCTCCACTACAGATTTATACACCCTCCAAAAAATCCTATTGGTGCCACCCTCCATTATGGTTTTAAAAAATACATAGGGTGGCTGGGGAAGCAATGTGGCAGAGGTTGCAAATGTATGAAATAGGTAGGTTACTAAGTCTTTACAGGGAGATTGAGACTCGTGTTTGAGTATGTTGGAAAGAAAGGGATTACTTTCCAGTTAAAGTAGACCTTGAACAGGGATGTGTGATGTTACCATGGTGGTTTAACAAAGTTTTAGATTGAGTTTCCAGAGAAGCAAATTGCAGGGTGTGGGATTAAAAGGTAGTGAATCTGACAGTTGTGCTTTGCTGATGACAGTCCTTTATGGAAATACTGAAGAAAAAGTGTAAAGATTAGGATCTGAGAAAGCGCATAAGAAAGAAAATTAAAAGTGAACATAACACACAGTAACAATATCATCAAGTAAAGCACTAAACCTAAGAGGGTCATACAGCTGAGTAACAAAAAAGTCTAGTCAATGAAAAATAGGATATCAGATTAGAGGGAGCATTTAGGAAGTGAATGTGTTTAGATGCTATAAATTTGGGAGTGGATGTTTTTGAAAGATAGGTCTTATGAAAGGTGAACTAGAGAGAAGATGAGGGGAGAAAGGTAAGTGGAATGTTAAAGCATCTGTAAAGAGAAAGTTTACCTATGGAAGCAGAAAAAGGAATGTTCCAGTGGTACCAACATTTTTATGTGGCTATTAGACATGGTCTTTGAGCAGTGCAACGAGGCTGCTGAAGGCAGTGGAGATGTCGTGTATATATACATGTACCCAATTGTTGCTGTGTTAGAAACTAGTTCTGCTGAAAGTTGGTAATTTAAGCAATTCCCATTCTGCTGAAAAGAACTAACCTGAATTTGGAGACCAATTATGGTAAAAGGCATTACACCCTATCTAACCATCCTACGTACAAGTGAGTCGAGATTTATGGACAAGTCTCCTAAACACCTGATGCCCTTGTTCACCTGACAGTAAAGTATATTTGTAGCTGAAAGCTAATCAATTATTATAGGTTTTATTTTAAGCAGGACAAGATTTATGGGCACTTTTTAACACCTGTTAGTAAACTTCTGTAGCTTACATATATGGATCCCAATTAAAATATCACATGGGCATTTTGGGGATATCCTGAGGTAATTGTACATTCTTGGTCACAAATATATGCCTTAAACTGTTTACTGTAATCATTGTGAAAGTGTATAATAGTAAGTAAAACTTATGTAATGAACCTAAGTGTTTATATCAGACTCCCACTAGATAAAATACTTTGTGGTTACTTATTATTTTATTAACACATTGGCCTTCTTCCACCAAGGCAGGGTGGCACAGAAAAAGAAAAACTTTCATCATTCACTCTATCATTGTCTTGCCAGAGGCATGCTTACACAACAGTTATAAAACTGCAACATTAACACCCCTCCTTCAGAGTGCAGACACTGTACTTCCCATCTCCAGGACTCAAGTCCAGCCTGCCGGTTTCCCTGACTCCATGTTACCTTGCTCACACTCCAACAGCATGTCAAGTCCTAAAAACCATTTGTCTCCATTCACTCCTATCTAACACACACACACACACATGCATGCTGGAAGTCCAAGCCCCTTTCCTAAGCCAACCTCTACCCCAACTTCCTTCCACTACAGATTTATACACTCTCAAAAGTCATTATTTTGTTTCATCCTCTCTACATGTCTGAACCACCTCAACAACCCCTCCTCAGCCCTCTGGATAATTTTGGTAATCCTGCACCTCCTCCTAATTTCCAAACTATGAATTCTCTGCATTATATTCACACCACACATTGCCCCCAGACATGACATTGCCATTGCCTCCAGCCTTCTTGTTCACCACCCATGTTTCACATTCATATAAAGAGCTAATTTAAAGGAACAAGTTGTGAGACACATTTAACATTTAGGTAGCCTTACTGATGAAATATTTTGCTTGCACATCAGGCTTCATCAAATACAAAAGTGTTTAGAGCACTGGAGAGAAAAGTTGAGAGGTAATTTGAGGTGATCAGTCCCTCAGCTTTGATAGGTGATGGTTAGTCCATTAGTCTGAAGCAGAGGCACAGGGTCAGAGAGCCTTATACAGCCTCTCCTCACTTAACGATGGAGTTCCATTCCTAAGACCACGCCGGTAAACGAATTCATTGCTAAGTCAGGAGCATGCTATAATGGTAGTGGATTTGTGTCAACCATCTTTGATATTGTTTGAGTGTCTGCATTTTAACATTTTTGGTATATTTTTAAATGTTTATACAGCAGTGTACTGTATATTGTAATAAACAGAATAAAGGTAATCAGCTCTAATATATTTAGGTATGCATACTGGTCAGAGAACCCGGTAAACGAATATGTCGCTTAGTGAGGATAGGCTGTGTACTGGAATCGGAAGTGAGGTGTAGAAGTTTGAAGACACCACAGGTAAACAGGGCCCACAGGTGGAAGCAAGTCATATTAAGCAGTTGTTAGCACTACAGTGCACACAAATATTGATCTTGAACTCAACCTCTTAAAAACATACAAGCTATGAACAGCCATACTTGCAAGTACTATACAGAAAACTGCCAAATGTCCTTACTAAGAGCAACCTAGTGTATTCAGCATACCTGGGTACACAGGTATCTACAGCTGTAGAATCAACAAGGTGAAGGTACTGCTATTTTTCTATTCTAACAAATTATATTGTATGAATAAAGTGAACACTGGTGATAAATGTGGTGACCATATAAGATTTGTTTGTGATAACTCGACATGATAAACACTCAATAAAAACCACTAATAATTGTTGGAGATTTTAGCAAATTTTTATCAACCTACTAGCCCCTAAGTGTCAAGCTTGATTAATAGCACAGTCTTGCCTTCTAATACCCTCAATCACCAAACCCACTAGAATTACAATCAGTTTCACTTTTAAATTATACCAGCTTTGATAATAATAGAGCCAACAAGATTGGAGAATACACTGGACCTCATCTTCACCAACAATGATGATTTGATATACAGTACTCAGATCACAACATAATAGAGGTTCAGACATGTATGTGCGAGGCCCCAGACCAATAAAATGTGATCAGTCACAAGGTAGCCTTCACCAAATTCAACTTCAATAACAAAAACAATGTGGGACCAAGTCAATCAGGTCCTAAATGATACAAACTGGGAAGATATCCTAAGCAACACAGATCCAAACCTATGTCTAGAACAAATTAACTCTGGCACTCAAGGTATGCTCAAGCCATATTCCTTTAAGGAAGAGGAAGAGAAGGTGTAAACTAGAAAGAGAAAGATGTTCCCTGTGCAGGCAAAGGCAAAGAATAACAGAGCAGCTAAAAGAAACCAGTAAATCTGTAATACGAAGGGAGGCACTGGTCAGAGAAACAGCAAACATTGAACTTAAGCTAAAGGAATCTTACAGGAGTCAAGAAATGCGGGAAAAAACAAAAGCCATAAATGAAATTGAGAGAAACCCAAAATATTTTTCTTATGCCAAATCTAAGTCGAGAACAACATCCAGTACTGGGCCCCTACTTAGACGAAATGGGTCCTACACAGATGGCAGCAAGGAAATGACTGAAAAGGCGATAAAAGACATGCCCATGCACTCTGCCCCAGGCCCAGACTCATGGAACTCTGCATTCATCAAGAACTGCAAGAAACCCCTATCATGTGCTTTTAACATCCTATGGAGAGGGAGCATGGACACAGGGGTCATCCCACAGCTGCTAAAAACAACAGACATAGCCCCACTCCACAAAGGGGGCAGTAAAGCAATAGGAAAGAACTACAGACTGATAGCGCTAATATCCCACATCATAAAAATCTCTGAAGGGGTTCTAAGAAGCAAGATTGCCACTCATCTAGATACCTATCAGTTACACAACCCAGGGCAACACGGGTTTAGAGCAGGTTGCTCCTGCCTTTCCCAACTAATGGACCACTATGATAAGGTCCTGGATGTTCTAGAAGACAAACAAAATGCAGGTGTAGTATACATAGACTTTGCAAAAGCCTTTGACAAGTGTGACCATAGTGTAATAGAGCACAAAATGCGAGATAAAGGAATAACAGAAAAAGTTGGAAGATGGGTCATTAATTTCCTAAGAAATAGAACACAAATAGTAGTAGTAAACAGAGTAAAGTCTGACGCAGCTACTCCTCCACAAGGCACAGTACTCGCTCCCATCTTGTTCCTCATCCTCATATCTGACAGACAGGGATGTAAGCCACAGCACTGTGTCTTCCTTTGCAGATGACACCCAAATCTGCATGACAGTGTCCTCCATTGAAGACACTGCAAGACTCCAGGCAGACATCAACCAAATCTTTAAATGGGCTGCAGAAAACAATATGAAGTTCAATGATGAGAAATTTCAATTACTTCGATATGGAAAATGTGAGGAAATTAAAACTATATGGGAGTATAAAACAAATTCCATCCACACAATAGAGTGAAAAACTAATGTAAAAGACCTGGGAGTGATAATGTCAGAGGATCTCACTTTCAGAGACTACAACACTGTATCAATCGCATCTGCTAGAAAAATCACAGGATGGATAATGAGAACCTTCAAAACTAGGGATGCCAAACCCATGATGACACTCTTCAGGTCGCTTGTTTTATCTAGGCTGGAATATTGCTGCACACTAACAGCACCTTTCAAGGCAGATGAAACTGCTTACCTAGAAAATGTACAGACAACCTTCATGGTACACATAACTGCGAGAAAAAACCTCAATTACTGGGAATGCTTGAAGTTCCTCAACCTGTATTCCCTAGAATGCAGGCAGGAGAGATACATGATTATATACACTTCGAAAATCTTAGAGGGATTAGTACCAAACTTGCACATGAAAATCACTCCGTATGAAAGACGACGACTTGGCAGACGATGCAACATCCCTCCAACGAAAAGCAGGGGTGCCACTAGCACGATAAAAGACAACACAGTGTCAGGGGCCCCAAGACTGTTCAACTGCCTCCCAGCATACATGAGGAGGATTACCAATAGACCCCTGGCTGTCTTCCAGAAGGCGCTGGACAGGTACCTAAAGTCAGTACCTGACCAGCCGGGCTGTGATTCATATGTCGGGTTGCATGCAGCCACCAGTAACAGCCTGGATGATCAGGCCCTGATCCGCCATGAGACCTAGTCGCAGACCGAGCCATGGGGGCATTGACCCCTGAAACCTTCCCCAGGCATACTCTATGTAACAAAATAAAATGGTAACCTTAAATTTAGATGTGTAATGCTGGGGTTAAAATTGCCTCCAATGTCTGTTCTCCAGGATGAATGTGCTTCAGTGGTTAGTGAGGTTAAAGGTATCACGGACTTCAGTGCTAATCAAGGTAAGATATTCTAATTGTAGGAGATTCTCAGGTAACATATATGGACTGTGCTTTTTGTAAGAGATAGGAAGGTCAGACAGAGGGTGTGCCTCCCAGGAGCTGGTGTTGGTGACATAGTCAGCAGGTTGGATATTATGTCAGGTAATGGTAACAAGCCCATCTCTCTGGGGCTGGAGTGGTTGCATTAGCCAATTCGATTGAGGGGGTAACTGATGACTTGTCTAGGAATTTAAACTGACAGATTATAGAGGTATGGGTGTTTGTGGGAAACAATCAGGCTGCAGTATTAGGGTTGAAAACAGAAGATATTACCAGGATACCTTAGGGATACGTTTAAAAGACAATACAGTATTCAAAGTTGCTAGTAAAGGCAAAGCAATTGATCAACAAACAGAGAGAGTAGAGGGCAATGAGTGACTAGCTCCCTTAAGGTTTACTATACAAATAAGAAATAAGACGAGCTAAGATTGCATGCAAGTGCAGGTAATGTAGATATTATTGCTATAACAGAGACATGGTTCAATCTGAAAGATATAGAAATGCCTTCTGAATGCAACATACAGGGTTATAAACTATTCCACACTGATAGGGTCAACAGGAAGGGTGGTGGAGTGGTGATGTATGTTAGAGATAATTTAAATTGTTTTAGACATAAGATTAGAAACATTCACACAGAATCTGTTTGGCTCCAGTTTCTCGAGGGTCATGACAAATTAATTTTGGGTGTGATTTATAGGCCCCCAAATGTTGACAGGGAGTGCAGTAAGCCATTATGGGACTTAATTCATAAGGTGTCTAGATATGAAAATGTTGTGTTAATGGGAGATTTTAACTTTAGACAAATTGATTGGAACAATGTGACAGGAAATCTTGAG